GACGGAGCCACGTTGGGGCTCGTACGGCGCAAAGGTAGGCTGCTGTTGTTGTTGTTGCATCCCGCGTGCATAGGATGAGCCGTCGAGGCTCATCGGAGTAACATTGTTGTTGTTGTTGCTGTTGTTTGACTGCGCAGGCACTCCTTGCTGGTGTTGCTCGTAGAAGGACATGAAGGAGAAGAATTTCTCCATCATGTTTGAATCGAAGCCTGCTGGTGTTTCCGTGGACCCAGCTGCTGGTCTTGCGGTAGTGCCTTCCTCTGTCTATAGGCCAGAGGCAGGAGGTGGAGTAGGAGTAGTGCCTGGGGAGCCGTTGGAGGAGCTCCTCTCCTTCCTTGCAGACATGTCTTCTTTCTTTGTATTTAAGTATTGAGAGAGAAAAGGATCTTAAACTCTAACTGCTCTCATACCATGTTGGGCTGAGAAGCCCTAGGATCTTTGTAGAGTTTAAGGACTGGGTGGGATTGTAATAGCGGAAGCGTTGAATAAAAGAGTGTTTGAACCACCTTGCACTAGTATGTGAGAGCAAAGTAAGTTGGATTAAACAAGCAAATACAAGGTTTATATAAGAGTACAAGGAATACGAATAGATATATTTAAACCGTTTTACTGTTGCGATTCGATACAGTGCGACTCGGGCAACTGCTCAATGTCGAGTCAGTTGTGTGTCCTTGCTGTCGCGCTGTATTGGTCAAGTCAAAGGTCGCTGACCTTTGACCTTCGCGTAACCTCCAGGCGGTTACCCTAACCTCCGAGGGTTGACTCGCGATGCTTCGATTTAGGCTGCTTCGCTAGTGTCCTGAGTTTCGACACGACAGAGGCGCCTTAAGACTTATTGTTCCCAACATTTTTATCCCAATGGTCTCGTGGTTGGGATTCTGACAGGTTGCACTCAAGGCCCTCGCTATCATACATTTTTGTCTGTTTTTATGAGGAATAAGAGGGGTTTTTTTTACGTAATCTGATTTTTGAGAAATGGAACGTTTGGGAAATCCGATGAATAATCTATGAGATTCCCATTTTGTCTGGTGAAAAAGACGTGCGTGTAGCTATTCCTCTGATTTTCCAGGCACTTGTATCAGTTCCGTCTAAAACCGACTTTTATACAGTATGCCGTGATTGACGCGTGATATGGGTTGGCTGCGCCAATCACAGCACGATCAGTAGACCTGTATGCGTGATTGCGGTGACAGCGCAGCGGAGCGCACTGACAGAAGTCAAGTGCTGGCAATCTGGCGCACGTCTGGCCAACTTGGGCCACATTGACACGAAAGTGGAGCAAGTCTTTCTGACGCCTCAGGGGGGTTCAGAGACTAGCGAGGGCCCTGGTTGCACTGTAGATGGTACAAGCGTGTGGAGGCGCGGCAGACGGGGGCAGCAGCGGCGCGGACGAAGCAGCAGCGCGGGAGCAGTAGGGCGCAACGGTAGGCACGCAGCAGGTTGGCAGCAGGACACGAGGGGTTGCGGCAGAGAGGGTTGCGACTTGGCATTAGAGAAAGCCGCAACGCGGAGCTAGTAGGGCCGCTAGAGGGCATGAAGGCGTTAGAGGAGGAGAGGGAGGAGGGGTGGCGGGGGGGCGCTAGACGCTAGTGGGGACACACGAGGGGCCAGTGAGGGCACGAGGGTTGCTAGGGAGGTTGAGGGGCAGAGGCGAGAAACCTTACCAAATATGATACCATCTTAACGACTAAAAGAATGGCCCATGTTGGCTAACTAAGCCTACATTCTATCGAACAACTCCATCTAGCCTACAAAGTGCATATAAGAATTGTTGAATCTTATGTTGATCGGTATGGGGGTGTCATTTTTAGCTACTGCAAGATTTGTTGGTGACATTTATGACGGACTGTGAATCATTTGCATTTTACGTTTAATTGGTATAAGTCCACCTATCAATGGTGTTTTGCATGTTCATATATGATTTTTTGCAAGAGTGCACTGAGCGCATGTGGGCCACTCTGCGAGCCCTTCCAGTGTCAACGCGATTGGCTGGACAACAGTGAATGTGTCGCTTCTGTCCCTTCTGCAACCCATGACATTCATGTACGTCATTTTGTCTCGTTGTGCACAAGAAAGTGTGGGAGACAAGTGGATTTTAGTTGATCGGTCCCAGAAATAGGACTGCTTGTGGCTGAACCACAAGAGGGGTCGCCGCTAAGTGTAACCGTTTCTCTCAGGTTTAGATAAACGCTGGGGTTTCGCACGACACATCGACGACGGCTTCGTCAGACGCAAAAGAGCAAATTCAATTGAATTGTACGGGGAAGGGGAGGGCGGAGGGAGTGGAGGACGAATCAATTGTTGTTAAGCCAGCATACACACGCAGCGTGGACATTTTCTGACAGCTCTTCATGCCAAGGTTTTCTTTGGCACCACAAAAAAGACATCCATGCAGCAGTGAACGAAAGTCGGGAAAGCCCGTTTCATTCAACTGACCCATCCCCGTCCCCTCGTCCACCACAAAGCTGAATTCAAAGCTCTCTTCGTGATCAAGCTTTCATCCCCCATGTCTCAGGGAACGTTCTGAGGGCTTCCCCCTGTCACCGTAGGAAACTCCTAGAATTGTCATCCCCCCTTCAACCCTTGAAGCATTGAGGTCAGCGCGAGGCGCCGCAAATGCAATCCAACGCAACCACCTCGGCTCAACAGCCCCCGCCACGTTCAATGGAAAAATCTGTTGGCATCTCGGAAGTGAGACGGTGCAGTCGCCTCGCCAGCTCTTTCGACAACTGTCCAGCCCATGTCCACCCTCCTGCCGTGGTCACACGTTCCTAGGACTGGTCCGCGCATAGAGAAAGAGAGCTCGCTTCGTCTTATTATTCCCACACGTCACGTCAATTAGTCGTTCGCCGCCCAAGTTGCTCATGGTGCTCTTGTCACGTCATCTCTCTCGAGACGCTCAGGTGAAGGAAAATCCTCGATCTCATCGCAGAGTTAGTTTCCTCGAGGATTACATTCTGTGATCCAGAGTGACGTCCCCAGATCAGCCGAGCACAAATTATCGTCCACCCTTTCGTTCGCCTCGTGTTTCTGCATGCATGCAACCTCGGGGAGGCTGAAGAAAGGCAAAACCGTCGCTGTCACGTTCGCGAAGCGTTACGCACTCGATCGCTCAAACCCCGCCATGTTGGAGGCATAGGCGACTTTACGAACCTGCCTTCTCTTGGAGACTCCGCCAAACGTTCTAAAGCCAGGTTCTTGTAAAGTGACTCGGCAACCCCGAGGACTACAAAACCTCGACGGGATACTCGTTGTGGATAAGACGGGGAGAACACGTAAACTCGCTTTTCACACCTTTTCGCACTCCGAGATTCTCGCCTTCTTGCTCCCAAACCCCATCCGCTCGCTTCCAAACCCATCCGCTCGCTTCCAATCTCATCCGCTCGTTGCATATCGTGCGGCCGTAGGACGTGGTAAGGCTTACTCGTTCCACCGGGCCGAGCGCATGCTCTGCCATCGATATGTGTCCGCTTGCCGCTACCTTTCCGCCGCGCCTCCAAGATTTTCCCAAACCCTCGTCTGAAGATATCTCGGCGCGTACGGTTGGACCAGCTCTTGACCCTTCAAGAAGTCGGATAAACACGAATCTTGATTCTCGCCGTTCCCGATCCCCATCACGTTTAGAGTCACGATCTGAAGAGCTACTCAGCAGCCGTGTTACTAGCCGCAGCGGTCTCAGTTCTGAGCATTCAGCAGGCAGCAGCGAGCGTGTGATTGAACCTCAAGTCTCATCGTCTCCCGACGTCGAGAAGACCACTACTACTATCGTTTCTGAGCATTCAGCGATCAAGCCGTTACCGCAAGCAATCAGTGCGAGCCGCTCTGTTTTAGCATCGACTGACACCGGCGTTTTCCTGCACGGTACCGGGTCCGCGTCGCCGTCTTTTTGTCACCCTCCCGATCTGTTATTAGGCGACGCGTCGGGGCCAAGTTACCTGATGACGTCACCCGAACGGATGGATGCGTTCGAAGCGCTGGTGCGAGCGTCGAGCCAAGAATTGCCGCTTCACGCGGCGCCGCATGCGGCGCTTCATGCAGAACCCGAGGAGAGTAAGCAGCGACCCGAATCTGCCGGCCAACGACCATACGATATCTCTGCCGCCGCAACCGCCTCCGGGGAAGCAGCAGTCAGCAGTCCGTCTAAACCGTCTGTTCAGCCGCCGTCAGCAGACGTTCGACATGGCAGTCCAGCAGACGGCGACGCGGAAGTCAACGTCGACGTTGACGTTTCACAGAAATCTCCGTGGAAAGCGCCACGCCAAGACACCTCGAACGTTGCTATGAAGACGTTAATCTCGAGGAAAAGCGTTGACGGAAATTCTGTTGGCGGAGAAAGTCCCACTGACGGCAGTCCGAAGGCGGATGTGAAAGCGAAAAGCGCGATTGACGGCGGCGTTGGGAGCCCGCAGTTTAAGGTGAAGTGGGGAAACCTGACACCCGCAGATCTGCTGTTACTATTGAGTCCGACTGTAGCGAGCTCCGTTAAAGTGAAACCGACGGGTGGCGGTCCCTACGTCTGCGGCGTTTGCGATAAACGCTTTCCATCGCTGAACTCGTTCAACGACCACGACCACTTCACTCACGGCACTCGTCTGCATGGTTCTCAGGTCGTGAACGATTTTCCGCTGGGCGACGCCGCTGGTTTGCCACGAGGCAGCAGGTCCGTTCGCAAGGGGAAAGGTGCGGCGGCGGCAGTTGCGGGAAGAATAAGGGAGCCAGTATTTGGCAGTACGGATCGGCTGTATGCGAGTCCACAGGGCGGTTCATATCGAATCAAACGGTTGAGGGCGGGGACATTTGAACACCCTGCGGCGGCAGATATGTCCGAGCGTGCAGGTTCGATCAGAAGCAAACGCTTAGGCTCGGCAATAGCGGATGGAAGCTGGACTGTTCAAGACCAGGCTGGAGTGCGCGATGGAGACGCGACGGCGGGGGCTAAGCCCTCGGTTACGTCCCCTATAGCAAGAGGTTATAAGTCTAAGCGGTCGAAAATAATTGCGATGGCTGTCGCGGCGGCATCTGCGTCGGACGCGCAGCCTCTCACGGCAGACGCGACGGCGGCAGACGGCCCGGCGGAAGGCGCGCACTCGCCTGGCGCGCGTGAGAGGAGCAACGCGGAAGGGGAAGTGAAAGATGTTAGGGGCGAGAACGGCGCGAGGGCGGAAAATATGCAAGCTGGGATTGTCAGGAGAAGAGAGAAGGGCGGTGGGAAGATCACCTCGGAAAGGAAGGGGAAGTCGCCGCGAAGGGGCAGGATGACAGGGAAAAGGACAGAGTCAGTTCCAGGTTCGGCAGGAGGGGAGGCCCGAGCCTCCACTCTAGGCTCGGCTGAAGCTTTGACGCTTCACGAAGAAGAGATTGGCAGAAACCGATCCGATCCTGAGGATGTCTCTATTTCTGAGCTTCTTCGTGAGGGGAGGCAGAAGAGGAAGGGAACAGAGATGTCAGCATTAGAGGCGACCCAGCACTTAGCTAAGTGCCAAGCTTCCCGAGAGTCGTTGGAGAGGGGAGAGAAGAAAAGTCTCGCGCAATTTTCCCAGAGTTCCGGTTCTGCTCTGGGGTCAAGCGGAGATCTGCTTAGTCTTATAGCGAGTCAGCAGCTAATGATGCAGCAGACGTTGCAGAAGCAGCAGGGGGTGAGGCAGTACCAGGAAGGGAAGCAGCCAGACGAGCACAGGGAAGACTATCAGCAAGATCAGCAGAAGCAGATACAGCATCTGTCACTTCTGGAACAAATACAAGAGATGCTACAGCTGCAATCCCGGCAGCAGCAGCAGCAGCAGCAGCAGGCGCCGCCGCCGCCGCCACAGCTGCTGCAGCAGCAGAATCCAAATCATCAGCAGCTTATAGAAACTCAATATATCCGTGCTCCCAACATTTCGACTGCCCAAGCCTCCTCCCAAACCGTCCTCCGGTCTCTTCCCGGCGCGCCCACCCCCACCTCCAGAACCATCTCCCCACACCCGTCTCACATAAGCCCTGTTCCCTATGCTGCTCCCCCTTTCCGCACCCCTTCTGCCCATTCCCTTGCTCCCTCTCCTCCTCCACTCCCCCCTCCTCTCCAGGTTGCTTCAGCTGCTGCGTTTCCTGCCCGTTCCCCTGCTCCTGGCATTTCATACAGCTCATCCCACCTCCAGTCCTCCACTCCGTCGTATAGGCTTCAGTCCTTTATTCCAGCTGCGGGTGCGGAGTCATCAGCAGCAGCATCAGGTACATTGCAGGGCATGTGTGGACTATCCGGGGAGCATGCGCTGCGCAGTGCTCTTGTATCCGCTATTGTGAGCAGGATAGAGCAGATGGTGGGGCAAGGGCAGACACAGGCTCAGGCGCAGCTGGTGTCCCAGCTGCAGGCCGCACAGGCCCTGCTTCGTCAGGGAGAAATCAAGGAGGGAGCAGAAATGCAGACGAAGACGCTTGCGCGTGGCTTGATGATGCAGCTGCAATCTCCTGAACCAGCAACACCTGCAACAGCAGCCACAGCAGCGACAGCAGCAGGATCAGCAGGAGCATGGGCTGGAGATTCAGGTGTTGCGAATGCATACTGTCAAGATGCACAGAACAATGGAGGGCGCCAGCTGAATGGGGGCGGACATGGGTTCCGAGAAGTAACAGATCTGGATCTGGAACTGAGGCTTTAACCTTTTTTCAGTCCTTGACAAGGTTCACTTCACTAACTGGTTACTGGATTTTCAATTCCTTCTAACAATATGGATGGAATATTTCTCGCTTGTTTGCTTGTTATAATATAACTGTATCATTACTGAAAGCATAAACCATTAGTTTAGATATTCAAAGATGCATTCTAGAACGCAACGAATACACTACAAACAGACCTCTATTAGAGCTATTTTTCCTTCCCCTGCTTCCTCCCTCGGTTCCTCTAGGCGAGCAACACACAACCCACCTGCGCCATCACCATCGCACACCTCTTACTGCAGGCCTTTGCCCTCGCGAGTCGCGGCCTCCGATCGTACGCTCCCCCTCGTCCGTTCCGCCGGATCCCCCACTTTCCGCTCTCGCCGTTCCGCTCCGCTTCCGCTCGCCGTGCACTCACGCGCTACTTCCGTCCCGCCGATCGCTCCTGTATCGAGTCGTCACCGATGGCTGCTCGCTCCAGCTCCCGCCTCCTCGCGCTCGCCGTACGTCGCTCTCAGCGAGTACACTGCTACCTAAGAGACATATTGTCGCCACCTAAGAGACATATGCTTCCTTTGTGGTGTAGATTACACTGCGCGTGGTGCGTTGCCGCGCTTCGGTTCGACCGGGATCGAGTTTGAGATGCCTCGAGTTTGTCGCGCCTCGACGCTTCGAGTCGGGTCAATACTCCTAGATGGTGCTTTGTCCGCATGCGATCGAGTGCTGAGACGTCTCGAAACTAGGCCTCGTTTAGGTTAACATGTTCGTGCCGTGTTGCTGCCATGATCCTCTGCTCGGATGCGATCTGTAGGATGACGAACGAGTGGTTACACTTGCGTTGAAAACACAGCCACTCGTTTGTGAGCCACTCGTTTGTGTTGTAAGCTGGCGGCCAAGTTCCTTTGAAGCCAGCTGCGTCTGTGAGCCGATTTTCGAGACGCCTAAACAATCGGTTTGTAGGGTTACAGACGGGTGGTTAGAGACGACTCGAAAGCCGAGTTTCCGAGGAAGCCAGAGCTGTTCGTGAGCTGGAGAACGAGACTATAGCTCTTCTCATCCGCTCCTCTCCCTTTCTTTCCCGATCCTTCGATCCCCATCCTGATTCACACGCCGCGCCCCCTCTCCCTCCACCCCCCACTCCCTTTCCCCCATACTCCCCCCTATTTTCCCCCCGTCCCTTCCCCATTCTCTCTTCCAAATCTCCCCCCAACTCCTCCCCTCACTCCTCTCCTTACTCCTCCCCTCGCTCCTCCCTCCACACCTCCCCCCGTTCCATCCCGTTCGCCTTCCCCTCTTCCCCGTGTCCGCGCAACAGGGCAGGGCGGTGTCCGCAAGGCTCGCCCCCGTTGCGCCCGCATCCGCTGTACTTGCGGGGGATGTCGCCCGCGGATTCGCAACTGCCGCTCCCGCTGAAGGTACGTACGCGCTAGGAGGAGCGTGGGCGACAGGTGCGTTTGCCAGGTGATAGCGACGGTTGTGTGCGACGGTTGTGTGCGACAGGTTTGTGCGACGGGTGTGTGCGACGGGTGTGTGCGACGGGTGTGTGCGACGGGTTTGTGCGACGGGTGTGTGCGACGGGTGTGTGCGACGGGTGTGTGCGACGGGTTTCTGCGACGGGTGATGGTGCCTCTTCAAGCAGCAGACGGGTCGTTCAGACGCTCTCTACAAACAACCTAGATGAATGGGTGATGGTGCTTCTCTTTGCATACCCTGCTTCTCCCCGCTTCACATCTCCCATCCCCCACTCTCCATTCCCATTCCCCATCCCTCGTCCGCATCATCTGTCACACTCACCCCACTCCTTCCCCCCCACTCCCTAGAGGATGTTCTGAAGGCGGCAATTATCCCTTCCCCCTCCCCCTCAACATCCTTCCCCCTTCCCACACATTCACTCCCTCCTCTTTTGCCTCCGAAATGGCAGAGGATGTGGTGAAAGCGGCGTACATCAAGCAGCAGGCGTCGTTCCGGTCGTATCTGGAAGGTGCAATGGGTCTTTCTTTCCCCCTTCCATCCCCAACCTCCCCCTTCTTTCCCTCCCCAAACCACCACCAGAGGATGTGGTGAAGGCGGCGTTTATCAAGCAGCAGGCATCCTTCCGGTCGTATCTGGAAGGTCTCAAGAAGGTTTCCATCCCCATGGACGCTGCTGACGACAAGGCCACCAAGGCGTATGCTGCAGCCGTGAAGAACATCCGCGAGAGGTGAGTCACAGTCCTGAGAGGTGCGACACGGTCCTGAGCGGCGAGGTACCTCAATACCAGTTCAGCTCAATACGCTGCTGACGACAAGGCCACCAAGGCCTATGCTGCAGCCGTGAAGGACATCTGCGAGAGGTGAGTTTGAACTCACTTCATCCCTCAGCCTCCCTCATCCCCCCCCTCCCGCTTCCTCTTCCTCCTCCTCTTCCTCCTCCGTTCCCTCCCCCCACCTCATCATCTCCGCGGCCCCATCATCCCATCCTGGGCATCCCCTCATTCACCAAAAAGCTCTCCAACCTGTTCAAGTGAGCAGAAGAGGGATCTGCCATGCGCCTCTGCCATTCCCCCTGTTGCCCATATTCTAGCACTCCTGTGATCCGTCTTCTCCCCTCCCTCCCTCCCTCCCTCATCCCAGCCTGGGTATCCCCTCATTTACCAACACGCTCGCCAACCTGCTCTAGTCAGCAGAGGACTCTACCTTGCTCCTCTGTCGATCCCCCCGTCCTCTCACCCCCACCCCTTTGAACCCCTCCCTTCCCTTCCCCGCCCCCTCCCACCCCTCCCCACCCCACCCCTTGCACCCCCGCTCATCCCAGCCTGGGCATCCCCTCATTCACCGATACGCTTGCCAACCTGCTCTAGTCAGCAGAGGACTCCTTCCTGCTCCTCGGGCGCCCCCCCCCACTCATCCCCACCCTTTTCAACCCCTCCCCTTCCTTCCCCGCCCCTCCCCACCCCGCGTCACCCCTCCCTCCCGACCCCCCTCTTCTCAGCCTGGGCATCCCGTCCTTGTCGGAGAAGCTCTCCAAGCTGCGCGAGTCAGCAGAGGAGGACTCTGGCATGCTGTTGGACCCCCGTCCCTCTCGTCCCCTCCCATCCCCACCCCTTCCCACCCCCCCCCCAACCCTCCCCTGGGCATCCTACCTCATCCCAGCCTTGGCATCCCGTCCTTCTCTGAGAAGCTCTCCAACCTGCTCGAGTCAGCAGAAGAGGGCTCTCTCGCACCCCTTTTCTGGTCCCCCTGTCCTTATGATCCCCACCCCTCCCCATCCCTCCTCACCCCTCCCGACCCCCTTCTTCTCAGCCTGGGCATTCCCTCCTTCTCTGAGAAGCTCTCCAACCTGCTCGAGTCAGCAGAGGAGGACTCGCGGGACGTGCGCAGCTTCCTGGAAGAATCTCGCATCATCCGCAGGCAGTGAGTGGATTGCTGTGGTTCTTGCTAACGTGGCACTGTATAACCAGACCCTTTTCAATGATGTACCCTGTAATGAAGCAGGCATCTTGTAACGAGGTAGCATTTAGGAATGCAGCTGGGAGTGAGAGAGGGTTGCAATGCGTGCACAGATTCCTTGAAGTTTCCTGCATCAAGGGTGTGCTTCTATGCTTGGATTTGCTCACATTGGTTGATGTCCCACGGTGCCACCCACCCAATCCCACCCATCCCACCCCATCCCACCCCATACCACCTCTTTCCACCCCATCACACACCTTTCTCTGCACCCAGGCTAGGAGACTTTTGAGTCGACTCAAAAGTCACCTTTCTGTGCACCTAGGCTAGGAGTGGAGGACAAGCTGGGCGCGGAGAAGCTGGACAGCGTCGAGAAGAAGCTTGGGAAGGTGGGGAAGGGGGAGCGCTTTCCCCTCCACCCTTACAACCCCGTCACCCCGTCCTCCCTTGTCCCAAACCACCCCTGTGCGCCCAGGCTGGGAGTGGAGGACAAGCTGGGCGCGGAGAAGCTCATGTTTGCAGCACTTGACAGCGTTGAGAAGAAGCTGGGGAAGGCGCTGGTGGGGGATGATGTGAAGGGCATGGCGATGTTTCAGGAGGAGGTCAATGCTATTAACAAGAAGTGAGTGGTTTGAATGGCCTTTCGGAGTGTGCATGCAACCAGAAGGGAGAAGAAGCTGGGGAAGGCGCTGGTGGGGGATGGATGACGTGAAGGGCATGGCGATGTTTCAGGACGAGGTGAACGCCATCAACAAGAAGTGAGTTCTGTTGGCAACAAGTATAGTGTGTGCTTGTATGTGTGTATGTTTTTTTTGTCTGTTTTCTTGTCAGCGCCATCACCCTGAAGCATTTCCCAAAATAATTTGGAATGATGGCCATGGTTTATTTGGTTCAAGCCATGACATGCAACTGTTTCTTACCTCCTCTGCGGGAAACAAAGTTTAAGTGCTGGCGATGCTGCAGAAGAGAAGGTGAACGCCCTCAACAAGAAATGAGGGTGTTCACATCTTGCATACAAGAAATCTGACTGGATTTTCTGGTGTGCGCATGCATAGGGAGTTCTTACAGGGTGTTTTGCTGAGTGTGTGTGTGTGTTCACGCACACGGCCAGCCAGGTTGTGGCTGGGGCTGAGAGACAGTAATCTGGAAGCACCGGAGAACCAGCTGGAAATGAGCATGGCCAAGACGAATAGCGCTGCCTGCCCCTGGAGTAGCCCTGTGTAACCCCCTCTTTCTGCCATCTGAATTTCGCTGCGCTCCCCTGTCCCTGCTCTCCCGTCTCCCTGCTCTTCCCTGTTTGGCACTGTCATCCCCGCCGCTCCCTGTCGGTACCAGGCTGGGGTTGAAGGACGGCGACTTGGAGCCGTTGGAGCAGCAGCTGGGGACCAGCATGGCCAAGACTGACGTCACTGCCTTCCCCTTGACTAGCCCCTTCTACCACCTCTTTCCGCCATCCAACTTTCCCTTCTCTCCCCCCCCCCCCCCCCAGGCTGGGGTTGAAGGACGGCGACTTGGAGCCGTTGGAGCAGCAGCTGGAGACGAGCATGGCCAAGACTGACATTGCTGCCTTTGCCAGCGAGGCAACGCAGAAGATTGGCACGTACCAGAAGAGGTGGGTGGTTGTCGCTCGGGTTCTTATTGAGAATTCTCAGAAACGGCCTACAAAAAATGGCCAAGATGGACATCGCTGCCTTTGCCAGCGTGGCAGCACAAAAGATTGGCACGTACCAGAAGAGGCGGGTGGGGTTCTGGTGCTGTTCCTGAGAATTATTGGAAAAAATGGCCAAGGCTGACATTGGTGCCTTTGCTAGCGAGGCGGTGGAGAATATTGGCACGTACCAGAAGAGGTGCGTGGCCCCTTGAACCTGTTGAGCGAGGTTGGGGTGAGCAAGGAGGCACCAAAGGGGTTATTGCGAGCAGGGACTCGGGAATGTATCTCTTAGTCTGCTTGCTCGCAGGCCTTGCGGTCTGCACCATTTTGTTGCACATTTTTTTTGTTACAACTAGTTCTTAACCAAGTGCACTGTTCGGAAGGGGTTTTTGCGTTTCTGTGTGTTTCTCACTTCTGAATCACTGTCGATCACCTGGGAAGGTCTTGAAGGATGCTGACATGGACCACAATGCAAATACCCTGAAGGTGTTATTTATATTTTTTGATGTAATTTGCCTATTTACCCTGTGTTTTTGGATCCCATTTCCCAGGGACGGCTTGGAGGACATCCAGGTGGACCTCAAGACCCTGGATCCCAAGGCTTACATGTGAATCAGTCTTGATTGCAGCTGAGACTTGATTGCAGTCTTGTTCGTATATGTGATGTTAATTCATCCGTACCGTCATCGCCCGGATATTAGACATATATGTCTTATCTCGTACACGGGCAAAAATGCTTGAGTTATCTTGTAAACGGGATGGTTTAGGGTGTCTTAGAAGTCTTATAAATGGAAAAAAAATTAAGTTGACTGCAACACTTGCAAAGTGTGTAGAAACCACCCAAAGACCAATTTCATTTAAACAGGCCGACCTCGGTGGTGATGCATGCAGCGCCCACACTTTCCACGTGAGGGAGCTGCCACCGCTTGCAACATTCCTCTGTGCTGGCAGCATCTAATGATGCTGCCAGCGTCGTTTTGCTGCCAGGAGCGCATGGATGCTTCCAGAACGCTGCTGGCAGCACGTTGGTAGCGTGAGTGCTGTCCTCTACGAGGAGATGCCTCGTAGAGGAGCGGCTCGGCACCTGTGGATGGGGCACTCTGGCTGGGGGGGGTAGTCGGGCTCTCACTTCATTTCGTGCTCAAGGAGGTTGAATACTCGTCTCAACCTTGCTCTCGGCAGACTCTCTAACCATGCGCAGCAAAGTACCAGTAGGCAAGTCCTCACCTCGTCCTCACGTGCAGGTTAATAACTACGGGCGAATTAACTCGCCCGGCGATGACATCCGTGTAGCCATGGCGAAGAACGCGAGCAAGGCGGCAAGTCCTACTGCCGCCTCCGGTGCGAGCTGTGACGGGGACGACGGAGACGAAGCGAACGGCGACGACGCCGAGGAGGATTGGCCGGAGAACGGCCACGACGACAGCGCTTCAGGCGACGATGTAGGTCCTGCTGACATCGAGGAGGACGACTGGTGGAATCGGCCGGTCGGGAGCGACGACGAGGTGGAAGAGTGGCATGCTGGTGATTCCGACAACGACGGAGGTAAAGATGCGCATGGTAACAACGCGGAGGTAGCGGCGGATGCACAGGAAGCGGCGGTGGATGCGAATGAGGAGGCTGACGACGAGGCAGGGGCGGAACTTGAGACATTTGCGCCTGCGGATGCGGCCGCAGTTGCGAAGGCGGCGACGACGACCCATGGAGCTTTGGGACCGACGACGACGTCCCGCTACTGAAGCGGAGGCTGCGCCATCGCCTACAGTCCAAGTCAAAGCGGGCCCGCGTGGTGCTCTCTGACGACGACGGTCCGGAGGAGGAGCGTCGCCCGATACTCACCGCTGCGGAGAAGGGGAAAGCCAAGGTCGCGGAAGCCCCTGCTAAGGCCCCTGCTAAAGCCCCTGCTCGTCGCCGCACAAGCAACAAGAAGCTGACATCCGGCGGAGACCCGGGATCCAGCAAGGGTGCGGCTAAGAAGAAGGCGAAGAAGGCCCTGAATCCTGACGACATCGTCGTGAACGAGCCGCTGGGCAGCGACGATGAGTACGCGGCGGCGGCGGGCCCGATTCCCACGTTCCCTGAGAAGGTAACGCCGAGGGACCCCACCCTCCATAATCCCAACACCCGCCCACCTTCCCCTCGCAGCAAAGACACTACGAAGAAGCGCCGGAGTTGGACCGTGCGTGAGAAGCTTAAGTGGGCGCGCCGCTATCAGGAGCTCGGCTCCTTGAAGAAGACGAGCGTGGAGTCAACCGCATCCATCGCCTGCATCAGACGCTGGTGTGCGGAGGCGGAAGCGGGCGTCTACAAGGGCGCGGCCAACTGCCGCAAGCGGATGCACGGGGGGGGGCGCCACTCACACTACCCCGACATGGAGGCAGCGTTGTACCGCTACATCTGCCTTCAGCGCGCTAACGGGGTGGCCATCTCGGTGAAGGACACCCAGAAGTGGAGCCGCGAGTGGATGAAGAAGCATTACCCCGGCAAGAACTGGAATGCGAGCTCTCACTGGAGCCAGCGTTTCCGTGACCGCTGGAACCTGGTGATGCGGGTGAAGACCAAGGTCGGCCAACGTCTGTCGGCAGGTGCGTGTTGAAGGATTTCGTCTGGCGCTCTATGTTGAAAAGTACTAGTAAGAGTTAGGCTTAGGAGCCATAACTTAGGAGTCTTGGTTGAGTTCGAGTAGTTGAGTTAGGAGAGTCGAGAAAGTTGAAAAGAGAAGAGAGGAGTTTCACTATAGAGCGAGCAGTACATATAGGCAAAAATAAAGGTGCACCACCAAACAAAATATTGTATAACTACAGTAGTCTACACTACAGGCAGTTACAAAACAATATATAGATTTATATATTATTCTGACACGCCCCCATAAGTGCCTGTAGGGAAGAATATGCAGTCAACGCCCTCATAAAGGGGTACACCAAGAGTGCGTAGTAGTACGGGAGAGGGCAGGCAAGGAGGAGGAGAGAGGGAGAGAGAGAGAGAGAGGGAGAGAGAGGAGAGGAGGTGATAGGCTCTGGTTGGTCACCACCTACATCCCCTCATCCTCCCCCTCCCTCTCCCCATCCCCCTCACACTGCTGCAGGAGCAGCAGAGAGGGGGGGGGGGGGGGGGGGGCAAACGGAGGAGAATGGGGCCGTAGGGCCAGGGGACCAGACATTACCCATCACCCCCACACCCGCCACCCCCAGTCCCTCCCCGGGCTCCCCCACACTCTCACACCCTCCCCCCCAGCGGCAGCTGCAGCAGAGGGAACAAAAGGAGGAGGAGAAGAGGGGGGGGAGGGAGGGGGGGGGGCCGACGCACGGCCTCCCCGGGCGCCAAAGCAGGCGGCAGAGGGGGCGACGCCTGCCCCCCCCTTCCAGGTCGCGGCCCCCGAAGGAGCCGCGACGGGTGACGGGAAAAGGGGGGGGGGCGGTGCACGTGCCCCCGGTGTGCCGCGGCTGGCGACAAGGCATGGCCGAGGCGGGGTCGGGGCCGCAAGAGGGCGGGGCCGCAGGTGGCATCGGGGCCTGGGGCGGGTACCGCACGGGCGGCGACGGGCCGGGACGGGCGGCGACGGGCCGGTACGGGCGGCGAGGGGGCCGCAGCGGACGGCGGCGCGTCGTACGGGCGGCACGTGACGCCGCGAAGAGCGGCGACGGGCTGGTACGGGCGGCGACGGGCCGGTACGGGCGGCGACGGGGCCGCAGCGGACGGCGGCGCGTCGTACGGGCGGCACGTGACGCCGCGAAGAGCGGCGACGGGCTGGTACGGGCGGCGACGGGCCGGGACGGGCGGCGACGGGGCCGCAGGAGTAGGGCGGCGAGGCCGCAGTGTAGGGCGGCGGGGCCGCGACAGTAGAGAGGCGGCGAGGCCGCGACAGTAGGGCGGCGGGGCCGCTTAAGAAGGGCGGCGAGGCCGCGACAGTAGGGCACACCACGGGGCGTGCAGTACACTCAGTAGCAGCGGAAGCAGGAGTCCAGGAGCGGAACACGCTCTGATAACATGTTGAAAAGTACTAGTAAGAGTTAGGCTTAGGAGCCATAACTTAGGAGTCTTGGTTGAGTTCGAGTAGTTGAGTTAGGAGAGTCGAGAAAGTTGAAAAGAGAAGAGAGGAGTTTCACTATAGAGCGAGCAGTACATATAGGCAAAAATAAAGGTGCACCACCAAACAGAATATTGTATAACTACAGTAGTCTACACTACAGGCAGTTACAAAACAATATATAGATTTATATATTATTCTGACACTCTATTGAATGCATGTACCTCACCCAGTGTCTAACCATCCCGTGCTTCCGTTGCGCTTGTCCCGTTTGCAGAGTGCGCGAAGGACTGCGAGTCCTTCTGGAAGTTTGTGCGCATCAAGAGGGCGCGGCACAAAATCGACCTGGCCCGCATCATCAACGTGGACCAGACTCCACTATTCGTGGAGATGCCAGCCGAACGGACGATCGAGCACCGTGGCGCGCGCTCGGTCCCAATCCGCACTGCAGGCTACCAGAAGACGCGCTTGACGGTGATGCTCGCGTGCACTGCATCCGGGGAGAAGCTGCGGCCGTGGGTGTGGTTCAAGATGAAGAACGTCCCCAACTGTGAGATTCCGGAAGGTAAGCGAGCGTGAATTCAACCGTGCGACTGCCTGATGAGCGTGCCCCACTGTGCTGATGCCCGTCTGTCCCTTGTGTGCCTGGCAGGAATCGTGGTCCAAGCACAGGACAACGGGTGGATGGACGAGACCGCTGTGCAGACCTGGCTGTCCAAGGAGGTGCTGCCCCATCTGAACCCCCAGCGCGGCCAGAACGCAAGGCGGGCGATGTTGGTGTTGGACTCCTACCGCGATCACATCACCCAGACCATGCTTCAGTCGTACCGCACGCACAGCATCACCCCTGCAGTCATCCCAGCGGGTTGTACGAGCCAGATTCAACCCCTGGACGTCTCCATCAACCGGTGCTTCAAGGCTGCTGTGTGAGCGCGCTACGCCAGGTGGTTCATGCGTGAAGGGATTCACCTGAAGACGAAGAAGGGTGAGTTGGTCCTTCATTTACGGTTTTATTCATGTTCTGTTTCGTGTCCTTGTCTTAAACATGCTCCTTCATATTCGTGTCTCTTACATCTCGCTGCCCCGTCCTCTGTCCCACCCGCAGGGAACCTGCAGAGGCCTCCGCACCCCGTGGTGCTGCAGTGGATCGCGGACGCTTGGGATCAAGTCCCCAAGCAGATCATCATCGACGCGTTCCGCCACTGTGGGATCTCGAGCAAGCTGGACGGAACAGAGAACCACCTGGTGATGTCTCACCTGCGCGCCAGGAGCACCACCGATGTCTCCGCGGACATGTCTCTCGGGGGGACCACAGGCGACAACACGCGCCTGCTCGGTCGGGCTCTAGAGGAGGAGGAGGAGGAGGCGATGCAGGCGGAGGGCGTGCGGGAGGTGGCCGTGGCAACCGGCCTGGAGGTGCTGTACCAGGAGACCCCCAACTACCGCGGAGCGGCGGCCAAGGCTGACCGCATGATCAAGCCTAGGGAGACGGCTAGGCATGCCTGGCGAGTGCCAGACCTGGGTGTAGAGCCTGATGTTAGTGCAGGTGAGGAGGCGGTGACTGAGGGGGGTTAGGTAGAAGTAGAGATTCATGACTGTATGCATGTACCCCCCTAAAGTAGGAAAGCTAGCTAAGAAGACACCCCCTGTTTATAAGAAAACCCCTAAACCCTGGTTCTGATTATGAGACATATATGTCTTAACTCGTACACACAAATAGGTGTCGTATAAAAAGGCTAGCTTGTTTATAAGAGACACCCGTATAGTAGACAACCCCTGTCTTCAATTCAACACTGTCTTATATCCGGGCGATGACGGTAGGTATTTTCTCTGCTGCATTTTATGCAGTTCATACAGCCCCCTCAGCTTTTTCAATGGTAGTGTACTAACATCGAATCCATTTGCGAAGTATACGCGATAGCTTCACAAATCAAATCCCAAGGACTGTGATCCTGTGGCTCAGATTCAGAACAGTGGAGACTTTCACGAGACTCGCGACGCTCTTCCATAATTTCGCCAGCCGTCGTCTGCCAACTTCCGCGATGAGATCCCCATCACCCTGTTGGAATGAACTGCTGCTGCTGCTCGCGTGGCACCAGGGTGGCGGGAAAAAATTCACGTGGCGAAATTTTTCGCCACAGTTTCCCCGTCAGCCAAAATTCGAATCTACAAAGGGCATCTACCAACATTACCCATTCGCCACTTCATCATCCTTATCTCCAGTCAGCAAGGCACACTTCAATTTTCACCCAATACAAATCATTCAATCCTCCACCTCATATCTTCTCCAATCCTCCTCAACCTTCTCATCCTAAACTCCACCAATCAATCCAAAGATTCCCTACCAAGCCTTAAATCAAAGCCCCATTCATTCCAATCACCAAGCCTTAACTTCAAGGTCACATTCATCACCCCCACCTTATCCAACTTAACCAATCACAATAATTCATCTCCTCCCCTCCTTCATCCAACCTCAAGCTCCACCAAATACAAAACAAAGGGTCCACCCCATTCTTCACTCATACTTTTCAAGCAAGTTTTTACCTAAGCTCTCCACAAGTTCTACTCCAAGCTCTCACAAGGCCACTTCAAAATCCTCCTCCTCATGCCCAACTCTTAAGGCTCCACTCACCACCAACCTCTCCCAATCCAAGCTCATAGCCATGTTCTCCAACTCTAGAGAAGCTTATGCTTCATAGTATTTCTACTAGATTGTTATCAATGGTTGCTCTTTAAGTCCATCATGTACCTCCTTTGGACTAGTGCATTTTAAGTTTTGAGGCCTCAACATCAACCTTTGACTTTCTTCTAATCAAGACTCAATCTTCACCTTCAACACTCAAGCTTGGAGGTTCTTCTCTGCACAATAATCAAGATCTACTACTCAACAATCAAGCTTGGATCACACTCTCCTTCCAACAATCAAGATTCACAATTCAAGCTTAGCTTCTTCTCAGAAGAATAGAACGAGAATGAAATGAACTATGAACGAAGTGAGTACAAATAGGAAACCCTAATAGGGTTGTACCCCCTATGGGATACCCCACTATAGCCTACACAAGTAAGTAAGCAATAAATGTTCTGACACACCCCCATAGGCAAAGTGGGGGAGAACAAGGGGTCACAAGACCAGTCAAGCAAAGCAAGGCAAAGCTCAGGGTGGATCACAAAGTCACCACACATTCCGAGCACAAGTTCAAAGGCCAGGAGGCCAGTTCACAAGCAAGATCACATATAGGTATACAAAAGGCTAAGCAAGCAAGAGCAAGAGTATATATATGTGACAGTACAAGCAAGGTCAAGAAGTAAGCAAGTGAGGCAAGACAGGCACAAGCCCCAACTGAGTGCAGAAGCGCTGATGATCACAAGGCGCAAGTGCCTTGGTGAAGACATCAGCAGTGTTGGCCTCAGAGGCCACGTACGCAAGCCGCAACTGTCCACGCTGCTGCAGCTCACGCGCAAGAAAGTAGCGGAGAGCAATGTGCTTTGTCCTGTGCTCCAGTCGCTGCTCTCGACACAAGGCCAGCATGGCCTTGTTGTCCACGTACAAGACTGGAGGAGAACGAGGCGGCTCTCCAAGGTCGGTCAGCAGGTAGGTGAGCCAGCGAAGCTCCTGTGCACCCATAGCCCCGGCGTAGATCTCAGCCTCACAACTGGAGCCAAGAACAGAAGACGAGGGGGTAGCCCGCCACGAAACAGAGCCGGAACCAAGACTGAAAGTGTAACCCTGTGACGACCGCTGCGTAGCCTGGTCGTCAGCCCAAGAAGCGTCCGCGTGCCCAGTGAGGACCACTGGACTGCGCCCTCCAAGTACTAGCCCCATGCCCGACGTACTGCACAAGTAGCGCAACACCCTCTTCGCTGCAGCCATGTGCTCTGGTCCGTGTCTCCCAGGAGCAACATAGCGTGCAAGAATGCTAAGAGGGTATGCAAGGTCAGGTCGTGTGCAGGTCATCAGGTACATGAGGCAGCCGACAAGCTCTGGATACGGGCCACTCGACTCTACGGACTCATCCGAAGGCAGAGCTGAGAGCGAGTGGGGAGTAGGCAGAGGAGTGGCCTGAGGCGAGGAGTACGTGAAGCCGAAGCGCTGAAGGACCTGCTGCACCATGTGTGACTGAGTCAGGGTGATGGTGCGGCGTGCTCTGTCCCGGGTGATCTGCAAGCCAAGGTAGCTGCGCAGCTAACCTAGGTCAGTGCACGTGTGTCTCTTCTTCAGCTCGGACTTCACGTAGGCGAGTCCAGCAGTGTCAGCTGTGGCAAAGACCAAGTCGTCGACGTACACGAGGATGTAGAACGGCGCCAGAGAAGTGTCGGTGCGCAGAAACAGCGATGGGTCTGCAGTGGAAGGAGCAAACCTAAGTGCCGCCAGCGTAGTCCTCAGTGTGTCGTGCCACTCACGCGGTGCCTGGCGGAGACCGTAGACCGGACGCCGGAGACTCCACTGGGTACCAGGAGGGAAAGGCCCAGTGAAGCCAGGTGGGCGACGCAGCCAGATCTCCTCGTGCAGGCTGCCCTGCAAGAAAGCAAAGCTGAAGTCGAGAGAGTGCAGCTCGTAGTCACGGTGAGCAGCAACGTGCAGCAGTACCCGAAGAGTAGTCATCTTTGGGGTGGGGGAGATGGTCTGAAAGTAGTCAACTCCCTGCCGCTGACTGAAGCCACGAGCCACGTAACGCGCCTTGAAGACAGGCGGAGAACCCGGCGGCCGCTTCACCCTGAAAATCCACATGCCACTGACGATGTTCGCCCCAGGAGGGGGGACAGCGTCAACGTAGGTGCCTGTGGACTTCCAGGAAGCCATCTCTGCATCCATAGCTGCCTGCCACTGAGAGGAGTAGGGACCCTCTATCGCCTCCGCGTAAGAGCGCGGAGTCGGGATGTCTAGTGCATCCGGGTCTCCCTCAGGGGTGAGTAGTACAGACGCGAGATGAGGTGAAGCGGCAGCCAGACACTGAAACTCCTCCTGCCTGTCCTCTAAGACGTCCGTGCCAAGGGCACACTCACCCCCGACGGACGGAGGACAGACAGACTCAGACTCAGTGACAAGACTAGCAGCGTAGTCGAGACGACAGCGCGCAGCAAAGTCGACGAGCTCAGTAACAAGGGCAGACGCAGCAGAAGACTCGAAAGAAGGGTCAGTGACGGCAGTAGCAAGGAGACGCGTGACAGTAGGACTGGCAGCACGAAGAGAGTCCGACTCCGGGTCGGGAAGAGCAGGAAGAGAGGAAGCAGGAGGAGAAGGCAAAGGGGCACGCAGAGGAGCAGTGGACGGACGCAGAGACATCCGGTGCGTGCCAGGGACAGGAGGAGGACGCTGACGCGAACCGCGACCATTAGTGCGCTCAGTACGAACAGGCGACGCAGGACGTGACGCAGGCTCACGACGCTCGATAAGACCTCTAGTCGGACCAGCATAGGGAGAAGGAGCAGGCAAAGGGGAGGCAGGCTGTAGCTGTGACTGTGACCGGACAGGCTGTGGACCCTCTAAGGGAGGAGGAGGAGGACCAGGAGAAGGTGTAAGACCAAGAACCTGCTGCAGGAGTGGAACGAAGTACGGTCGGGGCCGCGTGGCGACGCCAGAAACAGCCGGGACAGCACCAGTACCCCCAGCAGGAGTACCCGCTCCAGCAGCACCTCCAGTAGCTCCAGAACCCCTAGCAGCACCTCCAGCAGCCCCAGAACCTCCAGCAGCACCAGAACCTCCAGCAGCCCAAGAACCTCGAGCAGCCCCAGAACCTCCAGCAGCACCAGGAGCAATGCCAGTCGGACCGCCAGCGGTAGTCTCAGCGCCAACACGCTCAGCAGCACCAGCTCCAGGAGAACCCGCAGGCCCAGCAACTCCAGTACTCCCAGTACGAGCACCTCCGGGACACGCGGCAGCAGCACCCTCAGTAGCCAAAGAACCTCCAGCACCAGCAGCACGCCTCCAGCGCCGGGCAAACCACTCACGCAGCTCCTGTGGGGAGAGTGGCTCTCGGCGAGACGAGGCACCCGGAGAACCCCCAGGCGAAGAACCTCCAGGCTTAGCACCCCCAGGCTCAGCAACCCCAGGCTCAGCACCCCCAGGCTCAGCACCCTCAGGCTCAGCACCCCTAGGCTCAGCACCCCCAGGCTCCGCACTCCCAGGCTCAGCAGCCCCAGGCTCAGCACCCCTAGACTCCGCACCCCCAAGCTCCGCACCCCCAGGCTCAGCACCCCCAGGCACAGCACCCCCAGTCACAGCACCCCTAGGCTCAGCACCCACAGCAGCACCAGAGTCACCAGTGACCTCGACAGGCTCGACCGCGTCTACCTGGGACACACCTGAAGGGGCAGGACCCTGAGGGGGAAGGGGGTCTACCGGGGGGGGACCTGGTACCAAGAAGAGCGGGGGTGGGGGGAGGGACGGAGTGCGGTAGGGGAAGAGGCGGTAGTAGGGTACCGACTCCTCAAACGTGACTTCCTGGGAGGACAGAACACGGCGAGAGGTGGGGTGGTAGAACTGCCACCCAGGGGCGTCGGGGGGGAACCCCAGGAAGACGCAGGGAGCAGCGCGAGGGGACAGCTTGTCCGCAGACAAGTCGCGGACAAACGCC